TCCCCCTCTCTCTGTCTGCCTGTCTGTCTCCCTGTGTCTGACTCTCCCTTTCCCTCTCTCTGTCTGTCTCTCTGTCTCCCTTTCCCTCTCTGTCTGTCTGCCTGTCTGTCTCTCCTTTTCCCTCTCTCTGTCTGCCTGTTTGTCTCTCTGTGTATCCCTTTCCCTCTCTCTCTGTCTGCCTGTCTGTCTCTCTGTGTCTGACTCTCCCTTTCCCTCTCTCCCTGTCTGTCTCTCTGACTCCCTTTCCCTCTCTCTCTGTCTGTCTCCCTTTCCCTCTCTGTCTGTCTGCCTGTCTGTCTCTCCTTTTCCCTCTCTCTGTCTGCCTGTCTGTCTCTCTGTGTATCCCTTTCCCTCTCTCTCTGTTTCCTGCCTGTCTCTCTGTGTCTGACTCTCCCTTTCCCTCTCTCTCTGTCTGCCTGTCTGTCTTTCTGTGTCTGGCTCTCCCTTTCCCTCTCTCTGTCTGCCTGTCTGCCTGTCTGTCTCTCCCTTTCCCCCTGTCTGTCTGCCTGTCTGTCTCTCTGTGTCTGACTCTCCCTTTCCCTCTCTCTCTGTCTGCCTGTCTGTCTCTCTGGGTCTTCCTCTTCCTTTCCCTCTCTGTCTGTCTGCCTGTCTGTCTCTCTTTGTCTGACTCTCCCTTTCCCTCTCTCTCTGTCTGTCTCTCTTTCTCCCTTTCCCTCTCTGTCTGTCTGCCTGTCTGTCTCTCTGTGTCTGACTCTCCCTTTCCCTCTCTCTCTGTCTGCCTGTCTGTCTCTCTGTGTCTGACTCTCCCTTTCCCTCTCTCTGTGTGTGCCTGTCTGTCTCTCTGTGTCTGTCTCTCCCTTTCCCCCTCTCTCTGTCTGCCTGTCTGTCTCTCTGTGTCTGACTCTCCCTTTCCTCCTCTCTCTGTCTGCCTGTCTGTCTCTCTGTGTCTGTCTCTCCCTTTCCCCCTCTCTCTGTCTGCCTGTCTGTGTCTGACTCTCCCTTTCCCCCTCTGTCTGTCTGCCTGTCTGTCTCTCTGTGTCTGACTCTCCCTTTCCCCCTCTCTCTGTCTGCCTGTCTGTCTCTCTGTGTCTGTCTCTCCCTTTCCCCTCTCTCTGTCTGCCTGTCTGTCTCTCTGTGTCTGACTCTCCCTTTCCCCCTCTCTCTGTCTGCCTGTCTGTGTCTGACTCTCCCTTTCCCCCTCTGTCTGTCTGCCTGTCTGTCTCTCTGTGTCTGACTCTCCCTTTCCCTCTCTCTCTGTCTGCCTGTCTGTCTCTCTGTGTCTGTCTCTCCCTTTCCCCTCTCTCTGTCCGCCTGTCTGTCTCTCTGTGTCTGACTCTCCCTTTTCCCCTCTCTCTGACTGCCTGTCTGTCTCTCTGTGTCTGTCTCTCCCTTTCCCCCTCTCTCTGTCTGCCTGTCTGTCTCTCTGTGTCTGACTCTCCCTTTCCCCCTCTCTGTCTGCCTGTCTGTCTCTCTCTGTCTGACTCTCCCTTTCCCTCTCTGTGTCTGTCTCTCTGTCTCCCTTTCCCCTCTCTCTGTCTGCCTGTCTGTCTCTCTGTGTCTGACTATCCCTTTCCCTCTCTCTCTCTGTCTCTCTGTGTCTCCCTTTCCCTCTCTCTCTTTCTGCCTGACTGTCTCTCTGTGTCTGACTCTCCCTTTCCCTCTCTCTCTGTCTGCCTGTCTGTCCCTCTGTGTCTGACTCTCCCTTTCCCTCTCTGTCTGTCTGCCTGTCTGTCTCTCTGTGTCTCCCTTTCCCTCTCTCTCTGTCTGCCTGTCTGTCTCTCTGTGTCTGACTCTCCCTTTCCCTCTCTCTGTCTGCCTGTCTGTCTCTCTGTGTCTGACTCTCCCTTTCCCTCTCTGTCTGTCTGCCTGTCTGTCTCTCTGTGTCTCCCTTTCCCTCTCTGTCTGTCTGCCTGTCTGTCTCTGTGTCTGACTCTCCCTTTCCCTCTCTGTCTGTCTGCCTGTCTGTCTCTCTGTGTCTCCCTTTCCCTCTCTCTCTGTCTGCCTGTCTGTCTCTCTGTGTCTCCCTTTCCCTCTCTGTCTGTCTGTCTGTCTCTGTGTCTGACTCTCCCTTTCCCTCTCTGTCTGTCTGCCTGTCTGTCTCTGTGTCTGACTCTCCCTTTCCCTCTCTGTCTGTCTGCCTGTCTGTCTCTCTGTGTCTCCCTTTCCCTCTCTCTCTGTCTGCCTGTCTGTCTCTCTGTGTCTGACTCTCCCTTTCCCTCTCTCTGTCTGCCTGTCTGTCTCTCTGTGTCTGACTCTCCCTTTCCCTCTCTGTCTGTCTGCCTGTCTGTCTCTCTGTGTCTGACTCTCCCTTTCCCTCTCTGTCTGTCTGCCTGTCTGTCTCTCTGTGTCTCCCTTTCCCTCTCTCTCTGTCTGCCTGTCTGTCTCTCTGTGTCTGACTCTCCCTTTCCCTCTCTCTGTCTGCCTGTCTGTCTCTCTGTGTCTGACTCTCCCTTTCCCTCTCTGTCTGCCTGTCTGTCTCTCTGTGTCTCCCTTTCCCTCTCTGTCTGTCTGCCTGTCTGTCTCTGTGTCTGACTCTCCCTTTCCCTCTCTGTCTGTCTGCCTGTCTGTCTCTCTGTGTCTCCCTTTCCCTCTCTCTCTGTCTGCCTGTCTGTCTCTCTGTGTCTCCCTTTCCCTCTCTGTCTGTCTGCCTGTCTGTCTCTGTGTCTGACTCTCCCTTTCCCTCTCTGTCTGTCTGCCTGTCTGTCTCTCTGTGTCTCCCTTTCCCTCTCTGTCTGTCTGCCTGTCTGTCTCTCTGTGTCTCCCTTTCCCTCTCTCTCTGTCTGCCTGTCTGTCCCTCTGTGTCTGACTCTCCCTTTCCCTCTCTGTCTGTCTGCCTGTCTGTCTCTCTGTGTCTCCCTTTCCCTCTCTCTCTGTCTGCCTGTCTGTCTCTCTGTGTCTGACTCTCCCTTTCCCTCTCTCTGTCTGCCTGTCTGTCTCTCTGTGTCTGACTCTCCCTTTCCCTCTCTGTCTGTCTGCCTGTCTGTCTCTCTGTGTCTCCCTTTCCCTCTCTGTCTGTCTGCCTGTCTGTCTCTGTGTCTGACTCTCCCTTTCCCTCTCTGTCTGTCTGCCTGTCTGTCTCTCTGTGTCTCCCTTTCCCTCTCTGTCTGTCTGTCTGTCTCTGTGTCTGACTCTCCCTTTCCCTCTCTGTCTGTCTGCCTGTCTGTCTCTGTGTCTGACTCTCCCTTTCCCTCTCTGTCTGTCTGCCTGTCTGTCTCTCTGTGTCTCCCTTTCCCTCTCTCTCTGTCTGCCTGTCTGTCTCTCTGTGTCTGACTCTCCCTTTCCCTCTCTCTGTCTGCCTGTCTGTCTCTCTGTGTCTGACTCTCCCTTTCCCTCTCTGTCTGTCTGCCTGTCTGTCTCTCTGTGTCTGACTCTCCCTTTCCCTCTCTGTCTGTCTGCCTGTCTGTCTCTCTGTGTCTCCCTTTCCCTCTCTCTCTGTCTGCCTGTCTGTCTCTCTGTGTCTGACTCTCCCTTTCCCTCTCTCTGTCTGCCTGTCTGTCTCTCTGTGTCTGACTCTCCCTTTCCCTCTCTGTCTGCCTGTCTGTCTCTCTGTGTCTCCCTTTCCCTCTCTGTCTGTCTGCCTGTCTGTCTCTGTGTCTGACTCTCCCTTTCCCTCTCTGTCTGTCTGCCTGTCTGTCTCTCTGTGTCTCCCTTTCCCTCTCTCTCTGTCTTGTCTGTCTCTCTGTGTCTGACTCTCCCTTTCCCTCTCTCTGTCTGCCTGTCTGTCTGTCTCTGTGTCTGACTCTCCCTTTCCCTCTCTGTCTGTCTGCCTGTCTGTCTCTCTGTGTCTCCCTTTCCCTCTCTGTCTGTCTGCCTGTCTGTCTCTCTGTGTCTCCCTTTCCCTCTCTCTCTGTCTGCCTGTCTGTCTCTCTGTGTCTGACTCTCCCTTTCCCTCTCTGTCTGTCTGCCTGTCTGTCTCTCTGTGTCTCCCTTTCCCTCTCTCTCTGTCTGCCTGTCTGTCTCTCTGTGTCTGACTCTCCCTTTCCCTCTCTCTGTCTGCCTGTCTGTCTCTCTGTGTCTGACTCTCCCTTTCCCTCTCTGTCTGTCTGCCTGTCTGTCTCTCTGTGTCTCCCTTTCCCTCTCTCTCTGTCTGCCTGTCTGTCTCTCTGTGTCTCCCTTTCCCTCTCTGTCTGTCTGTCTGTCTCTGTGTCTGACTCTCCCTTTCCCTCTCTGTCTGTCTGCCTGTCTGACTCTGTGTCTGACTCTCCCTTTCCCTCTCTGTCTGTCTGCCTGTCTGTCTCTCTGTGTCTCCCTTTCCCTCTCTCTCTGTCTGCCTGTCTGTCTCTCTGTGTCTGACTCTCCCTTTCCCTCTCTCTGTCTGCCTGTCTGTCTCTCTGTGTCTGACTCTCCCTTTCCCTCTCTGTCTGTCTGCCTGTCTGTCTCTCTGTGTCTGACTCTCCCTTTCCCTCTCTGTCTGTCTGCCTGTCTGTCTCTCTGTGTCTCCCTTTCCCTCTCTCTCTGTCTGCCTGTCTGTCTCTCTGTGTCTGACTCTCCCTTTCCCTCTCTCTGTCTGCCTGTCTGTCTCTCTGTGTCTGACTCTCCCTTTCCCTCTCTGTCTGTCTGCCTGTCTGTCTCTCTGTGTCTCCCTTTCCCTCTCTGTCTGTCTGCCTGTCTGTCTCTGTGTCTGACTCTCCCTTTCCCTCTCTGTCTGTCTGCCTGTCTGTCTCTCTGTGTCTCCCTTTCCCTCTCTCTCTGTCTGCCTGTCTGTCTCTCTGTGTCTGACTCTCCCTTTCCCTCTCTGTCTGTCTGCCTGTCTGTCTCTCTGTGTCTCCCTTTCCCTCTCTGTCTGTCTGTCTGTCTCTATCTCTCTCTCAACCACGCCAGGATTAGCTTGGACTACACCTCTCATTAAATTTTCCGCACGATATAATAGGGTATATATACCTTCCGAAATGATAACACATGCTAAACCTTGTCGCACTCTGAGTATTTGGATTTTGTTGACCCAAGGTCAAACATCGGAACATGACCCAAAACCTACATTTTCGACCTCACCAAATGACCCCAGCAATAGGCTGTTATACTGATAACATGATTTTCAGATGAAGCCCTGGGCACGACAGCAGCAGCTAGCCGGCTGACACACAGAACGTCCGTCCCACAACCACAGCCGAGACAGCAACGTTACCATCACCAGCCGCGGGTAAGTGCAGGTGCGTGTCTCCACTATAAAACAAGGTAGAGCCAGGACTAGCGTCGCGTGCATGCGTGTGGCGTGCTTGCGTTCAAATGCCTCACGCCCAAATTTTACATAAATGTTAATATTACTGCCCTTGACATGAAAAAGTCACGGGGGCGGTCGGGTAGCCTAGTGGTTAAAGCGTTCGCTCGTCACGTCGAAGACCCGGGTTCGATTCCCAACTTTGGTACAATGTGTGAAGCCCATTTCTGGTGTCCCCCGCAGTGATAATGCTGGAATATTGCTTAAGCGGCGTAAAACCATACTCACTCACTCACTCATGAGCACAGATCCACGCTTTCGGGATCAGGTGACATGCAATCAACCAAGGCACCGAGCCTGACCACCCGACCCACTTAGTCGTCTCTGTATTTGTCCTTTAATGTGTTGTTAATTTGTTTTAAATCGTACGGCTCCTCCGAGGGATTGAATTTCCCCATATTATTCCCCAGTGGACACAACACAATACCAGCATCAAGAGCTTAATCTAATCTGCCAAGTCGCTGGCGTAACCAACGAGGCTATACGTTGGTCGTGAAGCAGGTTCAAGTGTTATAGGAAAGGATTAATCGAGTTTGTGTAATTCGGTAACAGTATCATTGGAGATTTATATTAACTTTCTGCTGTAACAGCGACACATTGCGATATATTAGTTTGGAAACTTATTTAATGCATGGGATCCAATTAACCCTTTGAATAGAGTGTAACAGCTGTATGTAAAGGACACCAGCGTCGCTCACACTCCATTTTCAAACCGGGAAGATTTATCCGCCATTTGCATCCATACATATTACGAGCATAAAAGTTCCACGCCATATGTTATGACTCAGAAATGCATATAGGGGCGGTCGGGTAGCCTAGTGGTTTAAGCGTTCGCTCGTCACGTCGAAGACCCGGGTTCGATGTCCCCCGCCGTGATATTGCTGGAATATTGCTAAAAGCGGCGTAAAACCATACTCACTCACTCACTCAGAAATGCATAATTGTGAACGATTCTGAGGTAAGGAATTACATGTTTATGCAAGTCAGCGGGAGAAAATGTAGCTGTAATATACTCCACGGTGCTTTTGCGTGGCAGAATGAAAGACATAAGCTGCATAATTATATATACCACAAATAGGACAAGGCTAGCATGAAACAGAGATTCGACCACAGCCATCATCATGCAGACCCTGCACAATACAGAAACCGCCTCACGGGCACCTACAAGATGGACACTGTGTACAAGATATCTCATTGGGACTTACTAATTTGTGTGTACTTACATGGACTCAATCCAGGATATATATTGTGTGACTGTTTATAAGTGCAACCAGGTATGTTTGATCAAAGACAGTATCTTAATGCCCAAATGAGTCTTTCCAAAAATATTTTTTGTATATGTGCAATATACTCCAAATTGCATCTTTAGTCAAGCTAGATCTTTGAAGTTATTGTGCAGGGAATCTTTGAAATGTCTTAAGGCCACGCCAGACATATAGATACAGCTAGGGCCCAGAGTCAAATTTAAAGCTAGACTCGTAATTTCAAAAATCTAGACAACAAAATTTGTCATTTGTTACAAGTTGTTACAAGTTATTAATGTGCACATTTTGGTACAAAATGGAATGTATTGTCTAGGACTTTGAATTCAGATTAGGGCTACTCTTGGGTAAGCCACCCCAACACATATGTGTATTATATGTCAGTATTAAGTAATTAACAGCAAAGCAGTATTAAGGATCTCAGAGTTTTGATTTTTGGAATTAAGGATTATTATTTTTCTGGGGCATAGCACCCACAATATATGGGCAAGTTCCGTCAAAGACACGGGAAGAGCACCCATTGTACTTAAAAGGGCAAACGTACCCACAAGTACCATTTGAGTCGCGCGGTGAAGTTAGACTCGCTTCAAATTTCTTTATGCGAAATAGTTGCTGAGATGTTTAATTTGTACTTTTAATGACATTACTCATTATCATTGTCATTATCGGTACTGAGTCGCACCGCCAAGCCAGACTTCTGAATTCAAAGAAACTTCAGTGATATATTTATTGAATCTGCGCAAAGTGGTATTTACCTGGTAGTGAAATAGAATATTACAAATATCACTTGGTTAGTTTTAAACTGTCACTAAATAAAACTGGCTAGATGATCACTTCAATATATACATTTGGTACACAGGGATTTCAACGATAACATGAACACATCTAACTGATTATGTTCACATTTGCACTGTTGTTTCCGTTGGTGTAAAAGTTCAACCACATCAATTTGGACTCATGTAAGCTTGTGGTCCAAGCTTCACGGAACGGAGGGAAGTTGTCATAGCGACCGATTTACGACAACAATTGTCTGAATAAACATTTAATTCCAAGGCTAATTGGAGAAATGACATCTATATGCCTTGAAACACTTAATTGACGTTATTTACAAGATGCTAATCCCAATTGCTAATCCCCAGTGTATTGTATATCGACTGTCTGCCATCATGAACGAAATATGCAAGTATGTCATTGATGAAGTACTGTTGTTTATATTTATGACTTACTAAATGTCAGGTGACCTTGGCTATATAAGCCTTGGTCAAGAGATGAAAATGAAGGAGAGAGAGAGAGAGAGAGAGAGAGAGAGAGAGAGAGAGAGAGAGAGAGAGAGAGAGAGAGAGAGCTACAGAGAGATAGAGAGACAGACAGACAGAGTCTTACCCTTAGCCTAGCTAGGGTTATGCTGGGTGCTCCGGGGCACCAAGACAACACCCACTACCACTATGTACTGATCTGGCACATATAGTCTTTTGTATGTATATATCTACATGTATAAAGTAAAACTGTATATACCGCAAGCCATCGTCTCCAAGTTGTCACTTCCTACTGAGAACCATACGCCGACCCATTTGCATATACGAGTATAAGGTCATAATTTCCTCAAAACATATTTGTTGGAATAGTTGCCACATGATTGTATTCTAAATATCAAATCTATTACGAAAAGGTGTTATTTGAAACAATGACATTACAACCAATTGCATTACCAAACTCATGCTCATTACCAGTTACGTCAATCAATCAATTACTGTAAACATTTGATCACCTACCATTCTTATTTCATCAACTTTGGTATGTACATGATGAACGTTTTTTTTAAGGTGTGTTGGAGAAAGTTTAAAAGTGATTGGTACTCTCTATATTTTTGCACAAGTATTTTCAAAACACTGACGGTTCGAACCATGATGTTTGTTTGTTTGTATGTTGTTTAACGCCGCACTCAGCAATATTCCAGCTATATGACGGCGGTCTGTAAATATTCGAGTCTGGACCAGACAATCCAGTGATTGATATCATGAGCATCGATCTATGCAATTGGGATACGATGACATGCATCAACCAAGCCAGCGAGCCTGACCACCCGATCGCGTTAGTCGCCTTTTACGACAGGCATAATCGCCTCTCACTACAAGCATGGGTTGCTGAAGACCTTTTGTACCCCATATCTTCATGGGTGACCATGATGTAAATATACCCTCACGCAAAAGAAACGCAAGTGTTTTAAGCTAAATAGGTAACAAACACGGAACCATAAATTGATACGTGTTTTAGCATGTAGTGAAGCCTGATGGTGTTATCAATATTTTTGGTTGCATTTTGGAAGCCGCGAGGGAAAACACAACATAAAAAACGAATCGCCAAAAACGCACCTTTTTAATGAATATGTGGGTGTCATGCACCCATGTAGTGAAGCCTGATGGTGTTATCAATATTTTTGGTTGCATTTTGGAAGCCGCGAGGGAAAACACAACATAAAAAACGAATCGCAAAAAACGCACCTTTTTAATGAATATGTGGGTATTATGCACCCATTTCTCGCGAAATCGAAAATGCACGAACTGTCACGAACTGTAGTGGGTATAAAACTGTGGCCGATTACTGGACCTACCACTCCTTGGTCGACAATGCCACGCTTAACTCAAATTCAGAGAAACCAGGCTATCGGACGTTTGGAAGCTGGAGAGTCTGTCCAAGATGTTGCCCGTCATTTCCACGTTACATAACCACAATTTACCGTCTCCTGCATCGATACAATGCTAAACAGACCACAGATGACCTTCCTCGGAGCGGTCGTCCTAGGGTCACCACACCTCGACAAGATCGGCAGATTACCCGTCAACACCAGCGACATCCGTTCCTAACTGCAAGTGAACGTGCAGACCATAGGAACACATAATCGACACATTAGCCGGGACACTGTGATCCGACGTCTCCGTTCCAACAACCTCAGATGTCGCCGACCAGCACGTTGTCCTGTTCTTCAACCACGGCATCGACTAGCACGACTTCAGTGTGCACAAGGGGCGGTCGGGTAGCCTAGTGGTTAAAGCGTTCGCTCGTCACCCCGGTTCGATTCCCGACATGGGTACAATGTGTGAAGCCCATTTCTGGTGTCCCCCGCCGTGATATTGCTGACGTAAAACCATACTCACTCACTCACTCAATCATTCAGTGGGCACAGGGTCATCACAATTGGCGTCATCGTGAGTGGAGGCGTGTCATCTTCTCTGACGAAAGTCGCTTTTGTGTCTCTCATGCAGACGGAAGAGTCATAATTTGGCGGCGTCGAGGTGGTCGTTTCGCTGACAGAAACGTTGTGGAAAGGGAACCATGGGGTGGACCTAGCGTCATGATATGGGCAGGGATTGGACTTAATGCGAGACTTGGACCCATGTGCTTTCTGAATGTTGGTCAAGGTCGGGGACACGGCGTCACTGCTCAGCGGTATATCGATCAAGTGATCAGACCCCACGTTGTTCCATTTTTTGCACAACATCAACAACACATTTTCCAGCAGGACAACGCTCGTCCCCATGTTGCCAGAGCTACCTTGACCTTTCTGCAACAACACAAGATCCGTGTTCTACCGTGGCAAGCCCTCAGCCCTTATCTGAACCCCATCGAACACTTGTGGGATGAGGTTCAAAGGCGTCTGCACAATGTACTCCCAGTCCCTACAACTGCCGATGAACTACGCACAGCTGCTCTGGATGTGTGCAGGAGGATCCCTAGGGCCTACACAAATCGTCTGCTCAACTCAATGTACAGGAGATGTGTGGCAGTGATCAATGCTAATGATGGTCACACCAGGTATTGACTGACATTTGGGGTATTGACCCGAAACTGTGTAAGCCCTTAACATTTGAAAAAAACAATTATGTCATCTGCCTTTAATCCATTAAACTGTCTTCAGTCAAATTTTTGTCAATCTTACCCTATTAGTATTTCTTGTCTTTACTGTTGAAAATAAATAGCATGCATAGTGCATACTCGACTTGCGTTTCTTTTGCGTGTGAGTATACAAATAGGAACGTTTGTCCATTCGGATCAATCTATATTTGGAGCACCTGTGACTGGGCCTGACCTGAATAGCATCCAAGGCCATGAGCGTACAGATTATCGAGGTCAATAAACACGGTACTGACGCCGGAATATGATAGCTGTCAGGGCTACGGCTGTGCACTGATTTCCAGAGTTGTCAGAGTTAGTTCCCCTTATGATGAGAGCCAGACAAGAGAACACAGTTGCCTATTTGAGCTACGATAAACTGGTAGTTGATGATTCTATTTTTGTTCTGGGAGACGACGACACAAAAATCAGACAAGTGGTACAGCGTAGGAACGTGACATCAGTTACGAAATCGCATACAAGATCATCACCCAATCCTACTGAGAGGTGAGGTGAGGTGAAAGTGGGTTTAACGTCGCGTCCAAGATTATTGCACTTATATAGCGACGTGCATGCACCTGTATGTGTGTGTGTGGCTGCTTGTACTAGTCCGGACTGATGCCGATTTATAGTGCTAGCTCACTGAGATACCATGCCGCAGTTTAACATGAATACCCCACTCAGACACAGTATACTGACTCCGAGCCGACCAGTCCTTGTTTTAGCCCCTTAATGCCGAGCGCCAGACAGGGTAACAACAAGTACAATCTTTTAACGTCTTTTTGTATGACGCGGCCCGGGATCGAACCCTGGACCTTCCGCTCTCCGGGCGGACGCTCTACCATAAGACCACGGAGGCGGTCCCTACTGAGACATCATCGACGTCTGCTGCTGGGTCATCATCATCATCATCGTGTACATCTGCTGGTATTAATGGCAAATAGGATGGTGGTCGGGGCCTCAACGACACTCGTGAAAATAACACTGATACTACACTTAATATACTGAATATATGTTCCTGGAACATCCAAGGACTAAACTCCAAAATTGAGTTTGGTGACTTTATTTCATTCTGCTGGGATCTTGATATATTCTGTTTTGTTGAAACAATGTGTACAGGTTCTTGTGATGTATTAACGAAAGTATTCAGTAACTATGATAATTATGTTTGTGATCCAGAACGTCTCTCTGACCGTGGAAGGTTATCTTGTGGAATTCCAGTTTGCATTAAACACTGTTTGGCAGTATCTTTCGAGAGAGTTTACTCCAATTGGGAAAATGTTATCTTTTTCAGGATTGTGAATGCTGATAGTCTAATGCACGTTTTCATTGCCTTTGTCTATATTCATCCTGAATCATCTCCGTTCTACAATAAGTGTGCAGAAAATGGTACAGATAGATTGGAAAATCAGTTAGTACATATCAAACATGATTATGATGAGTCCTGTAAATTCATCTCATGTGGTGATTTTAATGGAAGAACGAGGTGTGACCGGGATTTTATCCTTGATGATGATGTGAAGTATTCACCAATTGATCCACACTATGTTAGAGATAATTTTTCAGTTACAAGAAGTGTTCGTGACTACAAAACAAATAACTATTGTAGAGCTTTAGTGGACAATTGTAAATGGCAGAGCCCCATTGGATATCCCGAGTAACTTCACATTTGTGTCACATACAGGATGTAGTACTGTAGACTATTTCATAGCTTCCAGTGATCTTTTCCCAAATGTCATTGATATGTCAGTTATCCAATGTAATATACAATCAAGTCATGGAATCACCAGAAACCACAGATGGTATAGTGGAGACTGTTCCTAGATATATTCCACCAGGTGAAAACTTGGGGTCAATCAAGTCATGGAATCACCAGAAACCACAGATGGTATAGTGGAGACTGTTCCTAGATATATTCCACCAGGTGAAAACTTGGGGTCAATCAAGTCATGGAATCACCAGAAACCACAGATGGTATAGTGGAGACTGTTCCTAGATATATTCCACCAGTTGAAAACTTGGGGTCATACTTACAATGGCTTCGGAATACTACAAGTCAGATTATATATGAACAATTCTCAGTGATATTAGATGAAAACGTTAACAAAGCCGTTGACTAACTATCTGAAATTATGATTGATACTGCTCTAAATGGAGGAGCTTATGATACAGCATCTGAGCAAACAAAAAGATCACAACCTCCTTGGTTGATGATGACTGTGTCCAATTCAAATCTGAGAAATAAAGACTACTGAACAAGTTCAGAAAATATAACTGTGCAAAAAATGTATTGAAACATGTTCTGTGAAAAAAAGATGAAAATCTATAATATGAAAACGAGTGATGAGATAAATGCAGCAGCAAAGGACGAAGGCTGTAAGAGATTCTGGGATACACTTAAACGTGCCCTACAAAACAAGAACTCTAGTAATACAATATCATCTGACGTTTGGGCATCCTATTTTAAAAACTTATTGAACCCTGCAACTGCAGAAGATTGTTCTGAATTTGATCATTCGGTTTCCCAAATCCTTGATAACCATTCTTGTGAAAATTGTAGTATTTATTTCATTAATGATTTATCAGACGAATTCACATCAAACGAGATACAAGAAGCCATTTCCAATCTTAAACCGGCAAAGCACCTGGAGAGGACGGATTATCTCCAGAGTTGTTTTAAGGGTGAGGGACCTTATCTCATTCCCTTTTTGAAATAACTATATAACAAAGTATTAGATACTGGTATTTTCCCTTCTTCGTGGAACTTATCCCGTTATACAACTCTGGAAAAAAAGGCGGACCCAAGTAATTACAGATCAAGTTATTCACTTTTGTGTTAGAAAAAAGGATGAGAACATGGATCGAAATTAATGATTTTATATCGCAATCTCAAGCTGGTTTTCGCTCTAACCATTCTACCATAGATAATGAGTACATTTTAGTCATTGTGCTCGAAATATATATGCAAATCGAAGGGCCGGATTTACTGTGCTTTCGTTGATTTTGAGAATAGACAAAAGTTATTGTATTTACTTGTAATCTAGGGTTGTCATGGGAAAATGTTTAATGTTCTGCAAAGTATGTATACAGCAGTAAAAGCATGTATAATGACTGACAAGGGTAAAACAAACTTTTTTTCAACGTCCAGATGTGTAAGATAGGAATGGATTTCGAATCCTGTTTTGTTTATTTCTTTATCAATGAACTTGTTATTAAAAATCATAAACAATATAATTATGGTCTATTTGTGCATCAAGATATTGTTGATATTATGATGCTATTGTTTGCTGATGATAGTGTAATGTTTTCATTTGCAGTAAGCGGTTTACAAAAAAACAATTAAATGTATTACAATCATTTTGTTTGAAACTGGACTGGACTGGACTGGAGGTAAATTAAAATAAAACAAACATAATTGTCTTTAGAAATGGTGATAAAGTTGACAAAAAGGAAAAGTGGACTTATGGAAATGCTTCGGTCAAGGTTAAAACTTACTATAAATATTTGGGTATCATGTTTTCTTTTAAATTAATGTGGTCAGTAGCATGTAAACAACTTGCTATTCTAGCTTCAAAAGCATGTGTGTCTGTGTATAAATTGTTTAAACAAAATAGGTATATATCAATTTCAACAGCATGCAATATTTTTTATTGTAGAAATGCACCTGTATTACTATATGGTTCGGAAATATGAGAAACAAAATATAAAGCTGCCATCGAAAAAGTACATACCTCATACTTCAAACGTGTTTTGGTTATTGGTAAATATGCCTCAAATAAAACAATTCTTGGTGAAACTGGACGCTGCAATATGTTTGTGCATAGCCAAGTAAGAGTAGTTAAATACTGGATAAAGTTACCAAGAATGGAAGAATGCATCTATCCTCTTCAATGTTATAAATTGTTAAAGCAGTTGGATGATAAAGATAAACATAACTGGAAATCTGAAGTAAGAAATCTATTATTTACATGTGCTTTTTCTTTTGTGTGGATTGCACAGGAAATTGGTAACATTCAAGTGTTTATGGGAATATTTAAGCAGCAAGTGAAATATATTTGCACAAAACTGGTACGAAACTGTTTCATCTTCGCGTTATCTAAGCAATTATAGTAAACTAAAGTCACATCTTCAACAGGAAATGTATTTATCTGTCTTACCAGACAATCCATTAATAAGATCGGTTTGTAAATTTAGAATCTCATTACATAATTTCAATGTAAATATGTGTCGTAAATCGAAAGATATTGATGCTGTTAACAGTGTTTGTACCAATTGTGACAGAGGTGAAATTGAAGATGAATTCCATGCCTTATTTAAGCGTAACAAGTATTCCAAGTTAAGATCTACATATCTTCCTTTCTTGAATAATGACTATAAATCTGAAATGTTAATGATAAGGAATGTTATCAACTCAGAAAATAAACATGTTTTCTTTTCAGTGGCTACTTATATAAAGCATGTTGTTACTATCAGATTCAAGAAGATGTAATTTCTATATATGTGAGTTAGTATCAGTTGTACAGACCATATGGCCATAATACTGAATAAACCTGTATGTCTGTCTGTGTCTGTCTGTCTGTGTCTGTCTGTCTGTCTGTCCAATTAACCCATGCATAGTGCAGTCCCAGGTGAACTCAGCAGTAAAATTATCAAACTGCTGAGGTAAACTTACCAAAAGGCTGCGGTAAAAAACATCCCACATTTCTCACTCAAAAAATAATACAAACTCATTTTTATCTTTACTAATTTCAATCTCTTGTATTTAGACATTTCAGGTTTGGTTTAGCATGTCAACTTTTGGTCGTCATAATACCACAAGAACTTTTTAAGGTGAGAATTATTTATTTCAAATTCCGTTTTATTGTAGCATTCATATTTTGTATGTTTCATTTGCATGTTAAATGTTAGGGCATCATTGGAATGCAAGAAGCGAAAATAAAGCTTGAAACTAATGACAAATTGTATTGATTGATAAAAAATGTCAAATTCCGCGATTTTCCTGCAATTCTGCGTTGAATCACATTTTCTGTAATTCTTTCCGCGATCTTGGAATCGCAGTAGTCGTCTAGTATCTTGAACTTGACGTTAAACCCCATCCCGCCTCACTCCACCTCGACGAAAGCCCGAGTATTGGTGTACAGTGAACTTTGGTGCTTAGGGTGCATCCTATTTTCAGACGTGACGTTCAGATCGACGCCGTTGACGTCATGACGAAGAAGGACGTAGACGAAGGCTGGGCGTGGGTGGTCCTGGTGGCGTCCTATATGAACGGATTCCTGCTGTCGGGAGTGTGTTACATGGGAGGGATGTTCCAGGTCGTTCTGTTGGAGCACTTCAAGCAGAGCGTGGGTCTCACAGCCTGGGTCACGTCAGTGTACGCTTCACTCATGTTGTTTGCAGGTGAGTCTACTGGAGTGTCTTCACAATTCACCAATGTATATATGTGTGTCTTTATGACTGACATAAAGCTGCAGTTATCATTTCCCTACATTTATTCATTCTTTATTGTCCTCTGGGCTTTTTTAACTACTGGGGTCTACATTTGTGACTCACTGGAAAACTGGGGGCACGGATGGCCCAGTCGCCGTGCAGAGTTGCATCCCTTGGGCACGACAGAAACCTATGATTGTGGGTTCGAAGTGGTAAACGTCTGAGACCTGCATCACTTCGGGCTTTCCTCCAACATTAACATATAACTGTAATGTTGTTAAAAGTGGCGTTAAACCCAACTCACTCACTCATTGGAAAACTGCTTTTGTTTGTCACAAACCTGTCCATATGTAAACGTTATTTAAAGGAAACTTCGTTTACGATTCCAAATCAAGAACAAAAAGCCCGTAGTTCATTAACGCAACCTGCCGATCCCCCGAAGTATCGCTCGATTTTCTTTTTCAACAATGTTCGTCCTTTCTGTACATGCATGACGACCGAATACGTATACTTTGAATAAGTATTCAAGATCAAACTCGAAAACCAGAAGCGGTTTTTGAAAACATCCACGAACGACGTAAAAGCTAATTATTCGACAGAATATGTACCGCTGTATTTAGCAGTAGTGCATCCATATTCACAGCCGTGAACACAAAGAATAGCCTTTTGGGGGACATGAACCCAGGTCTTCGGTCTGGCGAGCCAAAGCTTTAGCCACTTAGCAATCCAAGCTTCTTCAAATATTAATCATGGACATAAATCATTATCTACTGCAATAGGTGTGACCTTGGATGTAGGGAATCTTCGGTATTGTTTCATATGTATATTATTCAAGATGGCCGATGTCCAACTTCGGTTTATCAATTCCTTATGTGCTGTTATTGTTATTGTTCACTGATGACCGTGTTTACTTCCAGGTCCTCTAGCGAGTGTCATCACTTCCTACTTCGACTGCCGGACGTCCGTGATGCTCGGCGGTCTGCTGCTCGCGGGGGGTTTGGCCGGAAGTAGTTTTGCAACATCCTTGAGCTCCCTATTCGTGTCCTTTGGTATTATTGCAGGTGATTATTTAAGGCATTTCTTGACCACCTATTAAACTGCATACCCCCATTTCCAATCAAAGTTGTTGCCATGGAAAGATGTTTTTTTCCGAAAATCCCAAACTATTAAAAGGCACCAGTTCACCAGACCTATCCTTGTGCCAACTTAGGTGAAGGGATATTGTACGGGTTTTAATATCTGTTCGGGAAACGACATCTTGCACGGACGAATGAACGGACAGAGGGTGTTCATTGTAATCATTGTTTGATGGACATAATCCAACATGATGCTTTTTATTTCCCAACAGGTCTTGGGTTAGGTTTAAGTTACACGCCCTCTATCGTCATTGTCAGCTACTACTTTGAAAAGAAACGGACGCTTGTGACGAGTGTAGCCCTTTCAGCCGCCGGCACTGGACTCTTGATCGCGCCATTACTGTTCCGATATCTACTGGACAACTATGCATGGCAACAATGTATGGTCATATTGGCCGGAATCTGTGTTCATGTCACGCTTTTCGGGGCCCTTATGTTTCCGATACACGAAAGAAAGGATGGCCGGGTTTTCTCAAAGTGCCGGAAACAGAGGCCAAAGGATCTGCCAGAAGATCTCGCATCGAGCCAGCTGCTCAATGGAGCTGTAGATAATGACATTAATCATTCCAGGATTACGTCATATGAGACTGATAAGTATGGAAGTATAATTCTTAAAGACGACTTTGAAGCAACTGAGAATGGATTGTTTACCGAGGGAAATCGGACTTCAGAAAGTCAGTTGGATATATTCAAGAATGTGGCTTTTGTTGTGTTTTGTGTGAATCAGATAATGGTGAACGCAGCATGTGGCGTGTTCAACATCCACTTGCCGGCTTTCTGTGAATCCTACGGTACCAGTGCTCAGCGGGTTTCCTGGGTCCTCTCGGTTAACGGCCCAGCCAACATTGTGTCGCGAATCCTGCTGGGGGCGTTTGCACACGCCAGCGAGAGGGATGTGTGGGTCCTATATTATGGAGTTCTGTTGACTTCCGGTACAATATTCTGTTTAATGCCGCTCTTTGCGAAGACATACCTCACTCAACTGATAGCTGTTATTCTCATAGGAACATATCTTGGGGGTTCGTATTCTCTCCCACCGGTCCTGACAATAGAATGTGTGGGTCTGAAGAAGCTTGCGTCAGCGTTTGGTGTAACCATGATCTGCGCTGGGTCTGGGTGGCTGGTGGCGCCGCCTATAGCAGGTACGACCATTACACTATATCACAATATTTACTGAATAATATAGAACACGTTTTAGTTGTTAGTTATAAGGGGCAGTCGGGTAGCCTAGTGGTTAAAGCGTTCGCTGACCAACTCCGTGGTCTAGTGGTAGAGCGTCCGCCCGGAGAGCGGAAGGTCCGGGGTTCCATCCCAGGCCGCGTCATACCAAAAGACGTTAAAAGATTGTACTTGTTGTTACCGTGTCTGGCGCTCGGCATTAAGGGGCTAAAACAAGGACTGGTCGGATCGGATTAGTCCGGACTAGTACAAGCAGCCACACAAACACACACACGTACATGCACGTCGCTATATAAGTGCAATAATCTTGGACGCGACGTGTAACCCCATTTCACCTCACCTAAAGCCTTCGCTCGTCACGCCGAAGACCCGGGTTCGATTCCCGACATGGGTACAATGTGTGAAGCCCATTTCTGGTGTCCCCCGCCGTGATATTGCTGGAATATTGCTAAAAGCGGCGTTAAACCATACTCACTCACTAGTTCATAAGAATAATGCCCATCGACCATAATTTCGCTGATCTGTGTTGTGAATGTGTCTATATTGTTTACATGTGATATTCTAAAGTTAAATCTCCCCCAGAAGATTTAGCACGAAGTATACTCACGACGATTTCAAAACAACACGTGTCTATTTCAGGGTGGTTTGTCGACTTAACAGGCTCATACGACTACAGTATGTATCTAGCAGGTGAGACATCGCACAGTGTACACAGATAGTGTACACTTACCTTGAAATGTCGGTTTCATATCATGTTGATTACTTAACACACATAACCGCGTTGAGAATTGTTTTCAGCAACTCTACTTGTAGTAAGAGGCAACTGACGAGATCGGCTGGTCAGGCTCGCTGACTTGGTTGAAGCATGCCATCCTATCCCATTTGCTCAAGATGCTCAATGGATTGTGTGGTCCAGATTCGATTATTTACAAACCAACGTCATATAGCTGGAATATTTGCTGAGTGCGCCGTTAAAGAACAGACGAACAAACATTGTATATCACCAAGTCCACGCAGCAATACGGGATACTACATCTGAATACACAATTGGTGTCTTTCTGCACTCATTAATATTAACAGTATAGTTAAAGTAGTTTCAGACACGGGAACGGAAAAAAACATATTTTATTCATTTAAAAAAGAGTGCAATCAATGATGGTGTGTGGGCATTAGTGTTCGCGATACTCTGCAATTAAATGCAATGGATATATTTTAGAGTGAGTGAGTGAGTTGGGTTTAACGCCGCTTTTTACAGTATTCCAGTTATATCGCGGCGTGTCAGCTTAATCTGGGAGGAAAGCCCGAAGTGATGCAGGTCTTAGACGTGAAACCCACGAGCACGGGTATGGTGCTGACAAACCTAGAAACATAATTGGGGCGAACCGGGATTCGAACCCACAAACATTGGTTTCTGGCGTGCCCAAAGGGACGCAACTCTGCACAGCGAATCGCGGCGCCTTAGACGACTGGGCAACCCGTGCCCCCGGATATATTTTAGATACTGGTATACAAGATGAATGTTGTTCTCCAAACTAATGTTTAATGTGTTCGTAAACACCCGGTGTCATCGCCGATTTTCAGTGATCATTCATAGACTTTTGGACCTCTGTTTTGCCTTTAACGCCCAAAGACGTTTATTCCGCGGATACTCCTGATTGGCCATTCTCTGGCGTTGACGTTTCATGTTCCTTTCAAGGTGTCTTGATGTTCCTGTCTGTTCTTCTGGGGTTGGTGGTGCCACAACTGATCAAGTCTGAGAACCAGTACCATATTCAGAGAGACCACTCAGTTGTCATTGAGGATGCGGAGAAAAATGATGAAGGGTAAATTTGTATCATCAACATTTTCTTACGGGAGTCAGATTTTACACATTTCTATCAATTGGTTCGTAACAAAATATTTATGATGTAATAAGGAAAATGAATATTAGTAGTAACAATTCTTGTTATTGTATGACCAAATCTGGATTACGTTTAATGGAGATAAAACGTCTTTCCGTTGTATTTCAGTACTGAGATGCATACAAGGGATGGAGTTTGATTACTACCTTCACCCGCCTTCATCTCCTGTACTTGTGAGTGTGCTACACGTGCACGGCTCATAATTTCTAGAGGACAAAATATTTCAAGGTTATAATACAAAGGTCTGGTGCCTGAAACATTGATGACTCCAAGTCCTTTTGACCATGGAAAATAGTCGACTTATCTGTGGTAAGGAGTGCCGGCATTAGTCTGGTGGAGATGAAGATGACGTTACGTGGTATTAACGATGTATCGACACGTGAAGATCACGTGAAGATCCGGGGTAGAATAGGTCTTCAGCAACCCATGCTTGTCGTAAAAGGCGACAATGCGAGTCGTAAGAGGCGACTCACGGGATCGGGTGGTCAGGCTCGCTGACTTGGTTGATACAATTGCGTGGATCGATGATCATGATGTCAATGACTGGATTGCCTGGTCCGGACTCGATTATTTTACAGACCGCCGTCATATAGCTGGAATATTGCTGATTGCGGCTGAGTCACGGTTGGTTCAGTCGTCTAAGGCGCCAGAAATCTATGATTGTGGGTTCGAATCCCGGTTCGCCCCGGTTATGTTTCTAGGTTTGTCAGAATGCCACAAGCAGAACCATGAATATCCTACTTCACTTTTCATATATATTTTCATCTCCATGATACACCAACAGATTCTCATTTTATATCAAGTGTATATTTAAATAGAATGCGATATGTTTATCCCTAATAAACGTTGAGTAGCATAGGTTTGTTCACATAAACAAACGGAACTGCAGATATGTCAAGAACTCCCACGCATGTAAATACAGCCATGTCTGGTTCCTCCACATTCGTCAAATTCGCTGTGCAGAGTTGCGTCCCTTGGGCAAGCCAGAAACCTAAGATTGTGGTTTCAAATCCTGGCTTGCCCCGAGTTTGTTTCTAGGTTTGTCAGCACCATACCCATGCTCATGGGTTTCACCGAAGTGGTAAACGTCTGAGACCGTCATCACTTCACATCTTACCTGTAAAAAGCGGCGTTAAGCTCAACTCCTTCCCTCATTTACCCACGGACAAATGCAGACATGGTAATGGGTGTCATAGTAATTGTAAAGTGCAGCCCGCCAAATCCCAGACGGAATCACGTCAGTGCCAAAGACTCCACAAGTAGCCTTATGAATGCCTCCACGTGTGCTTGTGATAATGGACAGATTATATTTTACCAGAAGTGATGTCTGTGATTATCGATGCCAAGTCTCCATCAGACAAACCAACAGCTTGGACAAGGTTTATGTCAGAGGTGTCGAGTTGTGGACTGAACATGATGTGAGTTCCCTTTGTTGGAGGATTGCATTTTTGTGGATGAAAGAATCATTGACTTTGTTTGTAATATTCAACATCAGGCCAAACTTGTTTAACTTGCTTTACGGAACTTAACTGTCGGTAGGTGAGGAAAAAATGCACAAATAGGCTGGTAAAATACTGAAATCATCTGTTGGCTTCCCTTGTTAGTTTCCACCTCTTGTTAGTTTCCACCTTTTGTTATCTTATTACTTTTGTTGTTCTTACATGTACATATATATGCTCTCTGCCTCGTGTCATTCATTCACCTGATGTAGGATTAAGCATATGCTCCGAAACGTTGTGTTCCTCATAATAAAGAAATTGACATCCATAAATTCTGTATCACTTCTAAATGCCTTCCAAAGACCCAAACCTTTTTCGATTATGAGGGTACTATACGCTATCAGCTTATCGGCGGGATAAACAAAGAGCAAATTCAGAATATTGTTTTGATTCAATCAAATTTACAGTAAAGTAAATTCGTAAAGCAAGTTAAAAAGAGCGTCTCCTGACATTTTGCGAAGTGTGTGGCTGGATTTAATTTGTTTCTTTTGCGTTAACCTATATTTAGATATTTACAGATTCGTGATAACGTCAGAATCATCTGGATCTGTGATCTGTGTGACCTCATGAAATTAAAAGAGGGGTACCTATGACCAATGAGGCATGGCTGTCGCTATGTCGTAGTGTATCAGAAGGAATCCCTGGTACGATATAACAAACCAAAGGGACCATTAGTGTTGTTTGTTTCTTTTGGTGTTTGAATTAATACTCTAGAGTATGTTGGTTGTGATCGTTTGTTGTATTCAAGTGTGAGTATGAAGTGTAATGGTGTACCTGCTGTTTTAGATACATCACCTGTTACCTTTATGATCTCATCTCGATTTCCTGGCATGGTGGGATTGTTTGTTTGTTGTTTTACGCCGCACTCAACAATATTCCAGCTACATGACTGCGGTCTGTAAATAATCGAGACTGGACCAGACAATCCTGTGATTGATATCATGAGCATCGATCCACGCAATTGGAATCGATGACATGCTTCAACCACCCTATCTTCTGACATCTGTTCAAAAAGGCACCAGACACAAAATGTCTTGTGATTATCTAGTACAGTTGGAAGCTGATCCGCAAAGGTTCTTGCAACGATGACATGACGGCGGTCTGTAAATCATCAAGTCGTATCATGAAATATATCCCAATTATCGTTTGGGATCAAAGTCATATTACCTCATCTGTTTTTATATCAAAATGTCTGTTGAACCTATGAATAGTACACGAATTTATTCCGCTGTCCTTTCTGTGGGTCGGCTGTTTTAATAGTTATTTGTTGTGTTTGAATTATTAAGTGCCACATATAATCTTATCCCTTAGGCGAGTAGCAGAATATCTATACACAGCGTCGTTATTGATGGGTCACGCAGATTATGAGGGATAAAAGTATTAAAAAACGTCGCATTTTCAACTTCTAAGAGTGAAGTTCAGTTGCATCTGGAATGATCCATTTAATTCCCAAATTGACTGTTTCTTATGTATTGCACATGCATGGGCTAAACCGCTGGTTGTGTTCAGACGTGTGCTCTGGGTAGCTTTTTCAATCACCTTCAATCTTGCACTTTTCATTGTGTTTAATAGTCATCCATTTGTCCAGCATCCAATCAGTATGACATGGGGGCAAAAACAAAATGTTTTTGAACAGTTAATCACCTTTTTCTGGTGTCACCCGCTGTGATATTTGTGGAATATAGCAAAAACAGGGTAAAATCAAACTCGCTCACTTAACAGTTAACCACATTGTCTACACTGACACATGTTGGCAAATGTTCATGTTTGACACCCTACAAACCTTGATTACCCTTCAAAAATGACGCTGAGTGTATAATTTCTGCGACGTCTGAAATACGCCTTGGTTGCACCTTGTTCTTTTACAGGATTATCTCCCTGCTCATCTTGAGATTAGTCTTTATGTTACATAACTGGATCAGTAAGAATCTCATTTTGTGTTTGTTTGAGGTTGTTGTTTTCTGGACACAGTAATTATTGTTGTTGTATCATGTACTTTTTTTCACTGAGATTCCCATATATTTTAGTAAACATGTTTGTACTTGACTGTTTCCTGTACTTGATTGCATAACGTTATTTGACAATCACTCTCAGCACCAGTGCCAGTTTGGACAGCCACGCGATGTCACACTTTCAGCTACTATAATTGGACTTCAGTTTTTCGGTGTTTGCCCCGTGTGTTGGCCGTAACAACAAAGAAAGTGTTTGCAATGGAGTGCCCGTTTTAAGTCTGTGTTGAAGGTTCTGTACGCAGGGTATCACAGAGAGCTTGACGATCTATTTATTACGTAATGAAGAAATCATGACAATATGTTGTTTCCAGAAGTAGAATCTCTGACTTCTCTGACTTCTCCGACTTCTCCGACTTCTCTGACTTCTCCGACTTCTCTGACTTCCCTGACTTCTCCGACTTCTCTGACTTCTCCGACTTCTCTGACTTCTCCGACTTCTCTGTTCTCTGACTTCTCCGACTTCTCTGACTTCTCCGACTTGAACCATGGTTCATGGTTGATATATAATTTCTTTATAATTGTGCATATTGTATAGTTGCGTCAGTTTTACTTGTTTAAATGCATTTTAAGAACAGCCAGTGAATTTCTGGCTCGGAATCAACAGCAAAGACAATAGTGTGACGTCATCGTCATGGTTGAAATAAAAGGGTATAACCCTGTTTCAAAGGAACTTCTCCAACTGGCAATAATGAGACCAACAGCTCGCCCGGACACGATGCTTACATGGCGGCCAGCATCCCCTTGTCCCCGAGTCCTGGTACCAACAGCATCTCAAAAACAAAGGCGTGTGTGCAAGTGTCAGGGAACTGCTTGTAGCATTGTGAAGGGGATGTTGAGTGATGAGTGAGTGAGTGAGTGAGTGTGGTTTTAAGCCGCTTTTAGCAATATTCCAGCAATATCACGGCGGGGGACACCAGAAATGGGCTTTACACATTGTACCCATGTCGGGAATCGAACCCAGGTCTTCGGCGTGACGAGTGAACGCTTTAACCACTAGGCTACCCGACCGCCCCGTTGAATGATGAATGAGTTGTTTCATAATAGTAAAATAGTAAAAATAACACAGAGTCTGGCTACAGTGCTAATTTATACGAAACTAATTAATACCGATTCCCTACATAAAATAAAAACGACAAAACCCTTCCCCTTTTCATAAGAAATCTCTATTTGAGAGTCCATTTGACGATTTTGATGTCATGATCACGTGTTTATGAATCTCTATCAAATAGTGATGATACTAGGTTTTCGCGAAAAGGCTAGCATGTCTTGGCCTACCGGGAGCATATGGTATTTCATTGTAAAGGCACTGTTAGTGTTTCACACGTTGTTTTCAAAAGTCGTAGATTCTCATTCTTATGGCCGTGAATATGTCTGTACAACAAATTCCAAACATGGAGTTTCCCCCATCAACCAACTCGAGCAAGGCTGCGTTATTTATGATGGGTTCTCCTGAAAATGTGCTGCTGTCATCATCGTATTTTCACATTAAACCACTGAATGGAAACATACTACCAATACAATACAATCCAAGAAGAGTTGTGCGAAGGATTTTAATTCAGATGGACTTCAAAAGCATCTACGGCGGAGTCATATGTTCTTGCGTAATCACTACTAGGGCTGGGACGAGTCCAAATTTACCCGACCCTACCCGGGTACCCGTTGTAGGTCTCAAGAGGTAGGTACAAACTGTCCGACTGAGAAAAGTTTGACCGTAGCCCTGGCAAAATGTGTTAGATACATGTATAAAACGATCTGGTGTATACACTGAAGTTGACTGAAGTTGTTTTTTTATTCAAACATACAAAAGTCAGACGGAATGGGCGTAGTAGTTAGAAAGAACTGCGAACATTAGTGACTTGTAGTTAAAACATACAGTCCAAGATAATTTTCAGCTGACCAATTATTATTCTGCTGAGCTAGTCAGTTCTGATTAACTTGACAGTCGCTATGTCAGCAATTAGGCTGCTTATATAAGTACGTCAGCTGACCAATATTATTCTGCTGAGTTGGTCAATTATACAGTGCAGTTGCACGACTATTCAGTGCAGTTGTTAGGGCTCACAAAATGCCCATGGCAAATAGTGTTACACAATGTGTTGGACAGTATTATTAAATTCATTTCATAATCTACATTTCATATTTACATTTTGATGCAAATTATTATTATGATTATTATTATCAATAAAGATGTCACTAACCGACACTAAGGTAGTAACAATGAGCGGTGCACTTTGTGTCAGCGGCTCTTTTGATGTTTATCATGATTATTTGCATATTCCCACATGCAAGGGATCGGTGACGGTTTTCGGTCGGAAGTGACAACATCAAGTCGGCAGCTTGCCTTATAAACACTTTTGCTTCATACGGGTTCAAGTATGTATTTGCCAGGTCAGCATAATATGGTAGCGGTTGTTTTGTTGGTGCCCTAGAGCATCTAGCTTATATCTAGCAAGGCAAAGGGTGAGGCCTTCCTTTCTGTGCCCGGAGAGAGTGAGTGAGTGAGTGAGTATGGTTTTACGCCGCTTTTAGCAATATTCCAGCAATATCACGGCGGGGGACACCAGAAATGGACTTCACAGTCAAAATATAAGAAAATGTATAATGCATGCTTCTTTTTGATTGCTCGTTGTTTAACGTCGCACGCCGAAGCTGAGATTGCAGGATCAAAAGCCTTAACGAACAACTAGTCAAAATGAGTGAACGAATATGGTTTTACGCCACTTTTAGCAATATTCCAGCAATATCACGGCGGGGAACACGAGAAATGGGCTTCACACATTGTATCCATGTCAGGAATCGAACCCGGATCTTCGGCGTGACGAGCGAACGCTTTAACCACTAGGCTACCCTACCGCCCCTTCTGTGCCAGGACCAAGACATATTGCTACGGTCACCTGACACGGATTTTCATAAATATAAATAACAATTGAGGAGTGTCGTAGTTGCAATTCGGACATGTGGCGGACAAAAAAGGTGCACTGGCGATCAACAGTTGGGACCACATGGTAATTAGCCTTTGCAATTAAATGTTCACTTAGACAGAGGCTGTCACGAATAGGTAGCTGTGACAGTAGCCAGGAGAGACCAAACAAAGAACTGCTTTGTCTGACAACACAGTCACTTTATGCATTTCATATGAAGATGAAAACGTCTTGGCGATGTCTGAAAACATGGAAGCAGACTTTAGTTGAGCCAAATGCCAAATGAGCAAACACGGAAAAACTAATATGTATCGCATAAGAGTGAGTGAGTGAGTTGGGTTTAACGCCGCTTTTAACAATATTACATTTATATCACGGCGTGTCAGCTTAATGTGGAAGGAAAGCCCAAAGTGATGCAGGTCTCAGACGTTTACCACTTCGGTGAAACCCACGAGCACGGGTATGGCGCTGCCAAACCTAGAAACATAATCGGGGCGAACCGGGATTCGAACCCTCAATCATAGGTTTCTGGCGTGCCCAAGGGACGAAACTCTGCCCAGCGAATTGCGGCGCCTTAGACGACTTGGCCACCCGTGCCCCCGTGTCGCATATGAAAGAAATGTGATGTTATACGCCAAAGGTGCACACAAAAAGACCAACTAGCTAAAACACGAGGGGCGGTTGAAAAGATCTGAACTTAAATAGGATGGACTGCTTTGATGGCGTTGGTTGTCAGTTATGGTTCAACGTAATCCAATCCAAGGTTCACACACACACTGCTAACGATGCTGAAGTGTCTGGATCCAGCAGGTGTAGACGACTTACGCCTGTTGGTGTATAAAGTCCCCCACAGCAGAAATGACGTCTTCATCATTTGCATTACCCTTGCCCAACAGTCCTCTCTTCAAGATTGGGAAGAGGTAGAATTAAACGAGACTTACCTGTAAGTTGAAGTTTGAATGGGGTTCTGCTACGTCACTGGAATGCTGGAGGTTTACATGAGATTGCGCAGTGCGATCGAGCGGCAGGATTCAAAGTATGCTTGTGACACCAAGTGCCACTACAGGTACGAGGGAGGGATGCGGAGGGCATGTAAACCACCAGCATTCCAGTGACGTAACAGAACCCCAATCAAACTTCAACTTACAAGTAAGTCTCGTTTAATTGTTTAATTCTGCTACGTCACTAATGCTTCCGGTTCCCATGAGATTTTAAAGCCACTTGGTGGCACAAGTCCTATCTCAAGAAATAAAATACAAGGTCAAAGTTCAGTATATTTATTTTTTGAGTTTCAGCAAATTCAACAAGATTTGCACAAAATTGGGAAACATGTATGCATAAGCATGACAACCCAACGAAAGTTGAAACTGGTATTGAAGCCAACATGGCACAAACTAAAAACTGCTAATCACAACCAGCAGGTTGTTTGCACATAACTCCCAACAGTAGTAATTCTATTCACCTGCCGATGTTGACACAATTGTCTTGTACATACGACTTGTGTCGTTCGGCAGTGTTTCTATTGGTACATTGGAATGTCTAACAAAAGTTTTTAAAATGTCATTCATTGGCACATTTGCTTTCTTAGCTGCCGATGTGGCTGCAGCTCTCGTACTATGAGCTGCAAACACAGAAATGTCAATACCCGCTTCTTCAAGAACAGTCCTAATCCATCTTGCTATTGTGGATCTTGTTACTTTCTTATGGGGTCTCTGGAAACTAATGAGCAGCTGGGTTTCACTTCCTCTAAACTCTGCAGTTTTGTCCAAGTACAAGGACAGAGCTTGATAAACACATAACACATGATCAGTTTCAAATTTTTCTACCTTAACAAAGTGAGATTTTCGTAATGGATTTCTCTGTTTAAGCAGATCAAGCACAAAAACAATCTTGGAATCTGAAACTTTCATATTGCTAATCTGTAATGTCTGAAGTGACTGGAGTCGGTTGGCTGTAGCCAGAGCCAACAGTGCAGTAAGTTTTAGAGTAAGTTCTTTCAATGTTAGAGTTGAGTTGTCTCCCCGGCCCTGGACTGTAAATACTTAAAAACAAGAGACACATCCCAAACTGAGCTGTATCTAGACCTAGTTGGTCTCTCATTAAAAACTCCGCGCAAAAATCTGCAGATCAATGCATCAGAACCAACATTAACATCACAACTAATAGAAATCAAAGCTGACACAGCCGATCTCGCTGTATTCAATGAGCTATAGCTTAGTCCTTGTTTATAAAGCTCGCTAAGAAAACCTAACAGTCTCTCTACAGACACCTGAAGGGGATGACCATCCCTTTTATTACAGAAAATTTCCCATCTGTGCACATGGACTGTGTACTGTCTTTGTGTAGATTCCTTCCATGATTTGAGGATGACGTCGCCAATCTCTCTCGGAACGCCACGCTTCTCCAGCGCTTTCCTGACAAGCGACAGGCTAGAAGTTGGAGCTTTTTCCTCAGTGGATGTAGAGCTCCATTGTGAGGAAGGCTGAGGAGATCCATCCGCCATGGTATCACTTGGGGATAATCCACAACCATGCTCATCGCTACGCTGTACCATGTCTGAGTGGGCCAGTTCGGGAGTACCATTATCGCCTCCCCCCCCCCCCCCCCCCCCCTCCTTCTGAAGTTTCTGCAAACACTGGCTGATCACACTGAAAGGTGGAAAAATGTATGCGTAGAAGTTATGCCATGAAACACTGAAAGCATCGACATACCTAGCTGATGGATCAGGCTTCCAAGATGCATATACATCTAACTGTTTATTCAGCCTTGACGCAAACAAGTCTATTTCAGGTTTATTCCAGAGCTGAGATAACGTTTCAACGACCTGTTTGTTGAGCATCCATTCCGTTTTGTCATCGAAAATCCTCGATTCTGAATCTGCTATGATGTTTTTTGACCCAGGTATATGGCTTGCAGTGACCCATATGTGCCTATCAACACACCATTGCCAAAGTTTTCTGACAGTCCTGTCACATGATCTAGATTTACTTCCGCCCATTACATTGATGTAGACGATTGCCGTTGAATTGTCTATAAAGAGGTGGATGTGACAATTGAGTTTGTCACTACATAGGGCCGGCAAAGCATAGAAAGAGGCCAAAATTTCCAATTCATTTATATGACACCTCTGTTCATCCACAGACCATCTACCGTTAGTTCTCTTACAACCAATGTGACTACCCCATCCTCCATTGATGCATCCGAGTACAAATCACAAACTGGGTCAGGTATGATGATTGGTTTGTTTGCTGTTTTGGCATTATGTACCCACCATTCCAAATCCGATATCATCATTGTGGTAATGAGCATAATGTCTGAATAATTCCCTTTTGACTTTCTCAGTGCATCTATCTTTGCATTTTCTAAGTTCCGATAATGCAGCGGACCAAATTGTACCCCAGGGAAACTGCTCACTAACAGTCCAAGAACATGAGCCACTTCAAGGATTGTTTCTTTAGTTTTGCATGATAAAGATTGACATGCATTAGCAACTTTAATTGCTTTTTCTGCTGGTAAGGTTACTGTCATGTCAACAGAATTTAGAAGGAATCCCAGAAATTCAATTTCTTGAGAGGGGCTAAATTGGGATTTATCGGCATGAATGATAAAGCCTAGATCTTGCAACATGAGAGCAGTTTCCTTTACATTCTGTGAACATTCGACAGGCGAGTCACCCTCGAGGTAAGAGTCATCAAGATATGGCACAACTAAACAACCATATTGTCTTAGAGTAGCAAAGACTGGTTTGAGTAATTTAGTAAACTTTTTAGGGGCACAAGCAACCCCATTTGGTAAACATGTGTACTCATACAGTCTATGTTTCCATTGAAAGCGAAGATATTTTCTGTGTTTTGGGGCAATGGGCACAGAATAGTAGGCGTCTTTAAGGTCAATACTAGCCATGTAACAGTCTGGGGTCATTAATCGGACTGCAGACCCTAAAGTGTCCATTTTGAAGTGCTCATATGGGATGTTTTTGTTGAATTCTTTTAAAGTCAAAATCATCCTATAAGTGCCATCTTTCTTAATTCTAGTGACTATTGATACACATTCCCCCTCACAATGATCAGTTTCCACTAAAACTCCGCTTTCTATCAATTTTGTAATTTCCTTGTCGACATGAACTTCTTCACCTCTAGATAATCTATTTTTATTTGCATCAGGAATTTCTGGGGTACATTGGTCATCGATAAAATCAATATGGCAACCAGTAACTGTATCTAACACAGCGCTGTCTGATGTAATTTCTGACCATTTATGAATAAAGTGTTGTATTCTACCCGCGTAGAAATCAGAGTGAGGAAGAAGTGAAACATCAATATTTTCTGAATTATGTCTCATGATTACCTGGGTGTTTGCAGCTGTCGGGGTTTCACTAGACTGTGCTACTGGCTCTGGCCGTGCTTCATCAGTCTCTTGTTTTCCCTGAAGGCTGCGTATCCACCTCTTTTGGCTAAAAAAGGCTGATATGGTCCACTCCTGTATGGCCTGTGTCGTGCTCGTCCGGGATAGCGACCTTTATATGGAAATCTACTCGGACCCCTTGTGAATGTGTTGTAGTCCCTGGGTCTAGCCTTGTTAGCAGCTTTGCAAGACTTTTCAATGTCCTCCAACTTTTTTGTGGCTTCACCACTTTAGTTTTGATCTGGTCATGAATTGTGACAAGAAACTTATCACCATGACTTGTGGAGGGTGTACTCTGACGGTCCCCTTCACAGGTATTTAACAATCTCTCAATCTTGTCGTCAGTCTTGTTTTCACACGCATTCGTCTTTAGGGGTTCGTCATCCCCATCGACGTACTCATCTTCGTAATGCATGTAAAAGGCGTCACTCTCAGTGCCATCTTCATACTCATAGTATGGCTTGTCAGTAACTGACTGCTTTAGTTCGTCAAACCCTGCAGTGATTGATGATTTAATGTCTGAGATCGAATCAGCAATCAGTTTACCAAAGTAAAAAAACTCGCTACGCAAGTTTTGTTGATCAGGCGCTGCCATATTGGTATCAGCGCCACCTCGTGGTTGTTCTGCAGTCACCTCGCCCGAAAAAAGATGTTTAGAGCTGGTTTCAAGCGAGTCACTGCCTCGCAGTGTCTCTTTGGGGTGTGATTTAGGCCCTGATTTAGTTTTGTCTGCATGTTTACCGCCAGGTATAGCCTCGCAGTGTCTCTTTTGCTGTGATGCGTTAGAGGCCATGATTCGAATACAGGTTACTGTGTTCAACAGGTGTACACTCACGTGTACGTTTCACTCACTAAAATCGACAGCGTCGATAGTGAAAAGTTAATAAAAGGCGTCACACTAACACGTAGTGCAACTATAGTCATCAATTACGAAACTTAGCCACCTCGTGACTAACGAAAATCACAAATTTGTGCTGTGACCGACCACGTCAGTCCTACCATCACTCAAAGCACATGGCGCACTGCCGCTCGATCGCACTGCGCAATCTCATGGGAACCGGAAGCATTAGTGACGTAGCAGAATCCGATGGTGTCTCTTGAATACCGTGTTCAATGGGTTCAAAGCCAAAGTCAGTGCAGTGAAGCCATGGCGACAGCAGACTTGTGTCCGTTTGGCCACGACGTCTAGCCTTGATATTCTCACGCAGTAGGATTCCTTTCGTCCCATTTGAACATTTATTTCGGTATCTTAGACTATTACTTCGACAGATAATTATCTCAGTGATTTGTCCAGACTCCGGATGGTTAAATCTGACTCGATTGCCGACATACAAGGGCGACGCACGCACGCACGCACGCACGCACGCGAGCGCAGAGACACAGACACGATCCAATGTGCAAATGTCTCTGAGTTTTCTTTAAGACTGCATTCCTCGAAACATCTTCCATAAAATAGAATAACAAAAGCAACAAAACACTTTCCATAAGCATTATAAATCAAGAGTTTGTTTTCCGATTCCGACCAAATCGTGAGTGTTTATGAATCACAATCACAAACAGTGATGTTACCAGGTGTTCCAATTGCGTGGATCGATGCTCATATAGCCTGAATATTGCTGATAGCGGCGTTAAACAACAAACAAGAAAAGGTGAGCATATCCCCCCCCCCCCCCCCCCCCCTTCAAATCCCTTGCTTGTTGGTATGCCAGTAACAGGTGTAAAACCAGAACATCAGAACATCCTGGTTATAGAACATAGTTCATCGTACATCACATTTCTCCGCTTCCTCAGTGACAACAGAATGGTCTCCATGGATGTGGGACTGGTTCTCAGGCTTGATCAGTTGTGGCACCACCAAACCCACAAGAACAGACAGGAACATTAATACACCTGTAACAGAACATATATGTATCTATGTACATTCATCAAGCAGTGAGATACAGGGAAAATATTATGTTATACACTCTACTGCTCTGAATGTACAAATCATAAATATATAGGTCTGTGGCCTCCTCAGTAGGGAAATAAAGAAATTGAAAGAGAAGATGTTAATAATAAACAGAATTATGATGATACTTTGTTACTTTTTCATGAGTTTGTTATATCACAGATCAAAACAATATACTATTAAGGCAAAACAACACGTGGCAATTGTACGCATTACAGATGATACGAAGTAAGAAAGAGACATTAAAATACAAAACATTTAAACATTTAAAAAAGATGAATGATTTTAAGAAGCACTGGGAAACATAAACATATACTTGTGTATAATAACTTAAGACTTGTTTAATAGGAAAATACTATTTGGAATAAAAGAGAGTGATATTAAAGTAATAAATAACAAGCGATATTAATAATATTAATAATTATAATATTATAATGTTAATCAGTATCTAGTAGCAAAATACATCGTTTAAGAATAGTTTCACGCCACTCGTTGCATTAACGTGTTAGGTCGTTACTTTCTTGAAGAATATTTGATTCTCAAACCGAAATAATTCATCTGTGTGTTTACGTTTGGTTAGAACAGAGTTCATCTGTTACCTTCAATTTCAAATTTACATACGATTCAGATTGATATATACAATATAAAATTAAATTTATTTATGATATGCTTTCAATATTCAGTAAACTGCAACTACAACACTGTTTAGTACTGTGTCAAATGTCTCACCTGCAAGGTACATGCTGTAGTCATAAGAGCCCGTCAAATCCACCAGCCACCCTGAAATCGACGCTGACTGTTACTATGACAACATACGATGTGACTCAAGACGTGACTTAATATCGATTTTGAAAAAGCCCAGGTATTTCATTTTTTTTATCACATAAGTCAAAACAAATAGATGCTCATTTATAAAAATAGGGGACGGTCGGGTAGCCTAGTGGTTAAAGCGTTCGCTCGTCACGCCGAAGACCCGGGTTCGATTCCCGACATGGGTACATTGTGAGAAACCAATTTCTGGTGTCCCCCGCCGTGATATTGCTGGAATATTGCTAAAAGCGGCGTAAAACCAAACCCACTCACTCACTCACTCATTTTGACTAGCTGTTCGTTAAGGCTTTTGATCCTGCAATCTCAACATAAGAACATAAAACAAAGAATTCACATTGAGCCTCTTTTGTTAAGCGTTCAGAAAATCCTTTGAGAAAATAAATGTCATTCGAATATACATTAGTGGTCACATCAGCCCCCAAGGCCAGTTCAGGCGTCTGGCGATAAAGAACTATATAGTTTTACCTGCTGCAGGCGGCGCCACCAGCCACCCAGACCCAGCGCAGATCATGGAGACACCAAAGGCTGACGCAAGCTTCTTCAAGCCAACACATTCTATTATCAGGACAGGCGGTAGAGAATACGAGCCACCCATATATGTTCCTATGAGAATTCCAGCTACCAACTGAGCAGGGTACGTCTTTGCAAATAGTGGCATCAAACAGAATACTGTACCGGAAGACAAGAGAACTCCATAATAGAGGATCCACACATCCTTCTCGCTGGCGTGTGCAAACGCCCCCAGCAGGATTCGCGACACAATGTTGGCTGGGCCGTTGACAGAAAAAATCCAGGCGATGTTTTGAGCACTGGTACCATAGGATTCACAGAAGGCACCAAGATGGATGCTGTAGACGCCACACGCAGCATTTACCATGATCTGATTCACACAAAACACCACAAAAGCCACATTCTTGAAAATGTCTAATTGGCTGTCAGTAGTCCCATGCATCTTATCAACTGTTCCGTTTTGCATAAGTTCGCAGTCGTCTTTGAGTATCACACTTCCGTACTTATCGATTTCATATGGGATAATTCTTGAATGATTATGATCATTATTTGTGTTTGAGTCCATTACCACTTCAGCTGCGAGGTCTTCTGAAGGGTCTTTGGATCTGTGTTTACCACACCTGGAGAACACTGGGCAAGCCTTTCGTTCATGTATAGGGAACATAAGGGCTCCAAACACGGTGATATGAATACAGATTCCTGCAAGAATGACCAAGGACTCTCTCCAGGCAAAGTTGTCCAATAGATATCGGAACACTATTGGCGCAAGCAGTAACCCCATGCCGGAAGCAGACAAAGCCACACTCGTCACAATCGTCCGTTTCTTGTCAAAGTAGTAGCTGACAATGACGACAGAGGGCGTGTAACTTAATCCCAATCCAAGACCTGTGTAGAAAAGGGAAATAATCCATGCACCCCTCAAAATGTAAACCATGAGGTACGGTAGCAAATATCGGGTGTTTGGGTTTTTAATGCCACTGTCACCACACGCTATCAAGGATCACCAACAATTAGGACCTGTTATATCATTTGGTGGCTTCAAATCAACAATAACATAAGCACAACCTTATACCATATGAGGACTATTGCTAACGTGTTTTTGTGTATTGTTGACGCCGCACTCAGCAATTTTCAACCTATAAGACGGCGGTCTGTATATAATCAAGTATGGACCATAAAATCCAGACATTTACAGCATTAGCATCGATCCACGTAATTGGAATACGATGTCATGCATCAACCAGCGAGCCTGCCCACCCGATCCCGTTAGTCGCCTCTTACGACAAGCATAGTCGCCTTTTACGGCAAGTATTCCTGGCTGAAGACCTCTTCTACCCCGGATCTTCACGGGCATCAACTACATGATAAATATTAAAGTCTGGACCAGACATGATGAATATCAAAGTCTGGACCAGACATGATGAATATTAAAGTCTGGACTAGACATCCAAGCCACTGACATCATGAACATCGATCTACGCAACTGGGATACGATGACATGCATCAACCAAGTCAGCGAGCCTGACCACCCGATCCCGTTGATGTATGTACATACACACAATGGATGTTCATGAAAGATCTTCTCACTTTTATGAAAACAAATCAAAAGGTTAATTAAAAATACTAAAAAATGAATAAATGTACTTTAATGTCGGAAATGGTTTGTTGAGGTATCTCTTTGGGAGAAGTTGTATCGGATTTTGATGCTCAGCTTTTGTTGAAGAATATCAGTGACATCAGTAAATTTAACGGCCTACCAACAAGATTGGCTAATAAACGAAAGCCCCATGCTTACGATATAGTCGGAATCGTACAATGAGCATATGTAATCTGTTGTATCTGAGATATGCTACAATGAATGTATACCTCTTGTTGACTATTCCGAGTCATAATTGTTTTCAAGAGTTACACTATAATCGTTCATGTATTTAAAGAGCGTCGCAATTAGCTGTGCAGAGTTGCGTCCCTTGGACACGCCAGAAACCTATGATCATGGGTTCGAATCCCGGTTCCCCCCGATTATGTTTCTAGGTTTGTCAGCACCATACCCGTGCTCGTGGGTTTCACCGAAGTGGTAAACGTCTGAGATATGCATCACTTCGGGCTTTCCTCCCATATTAAGCTGACACGCCGTGATATAACTGTTATACTGTTAAAAGCGGCGTTAAACCAAATACACTCACTCATGTATTTAAGTAACATGTAAGTTGTATGTTTTATTCGTCCATGTAACATTGCGCTGTCCATGTATATGCAGCCCATTCTTGACTTTTGAAAATCAATGTACAATGTTCAGAATGCGCCGAATAAAGAAATTTTGCACAAAGTAACAGTTTTTATGCCTTGGTAAAATTTGTTCTAAGGGAGGTAACTCTGGTCTGTTAACAAGCGAATCAGATATCCGGAACCTCGTTTATCCGGACAATATTTGAGAAACGCATGTGTCCAGATAAGCGAGGTTCAACTTTACATTCACATTCTTTCGGTGCAAACTCTCAATAAAAGGTGTCTGGGAACATGCTGATATCAGTTAAAAACATCACAATATTCGGGATTTATATAGGTGTTTGTGAACACAATATGGTTGACTGCATAGAACCACTGACCTAGAAGATAATGATAAAACATGATACCAGAGAAACTGCCAACCGAATTAAACTATACACGGTCAAGTGTCTCGAAAAAAGTTATACGCAATGGTTAAACATAAAGTTATGGTGAAGCCTGGATATTTGGCTCAATTAGTTACAAACAATCTCTCGTGAACATCACGGGCTGAGGTGTCACTGAAACCTACTATTTTCGTACGACTATATGGTTGGTTGGTTGGTTGGTTGGTTTGTTGTTTAACGCCACACTCAGCAATATTCCAGCTATATGACGTCGGTAAAAAATCGAGTCTGGACCAGACAATCCAGTGATTAATATCATGAGCATCGATCCACGCAATTGGGATCGATGACATGTAACAACCAAATCAGCGAGCCTGACCACCCGATCCGTTAGTCGCCTTTTACGACAAGCATAGTCACCTTTTACAGCAAGCATGAGTTGCTGAAGACCGCGACGGTTTAATACTATCCATCACTAATTTGTCTGGATCACACTCGATTATTTACCTCCCCGTCAGCTGGAGTGAGTGGGCTGGGTTTAACGCCGCTTTTAACAGTATTCCAGTTTTATCGCGGCGTGTCAGCTTAATTTGGGAGGAAAGCCCGAAGTGATGCAGGTCTCAGACGTTTACCACTTGAACCCAAGAGTACGGGTATGATGCTGACAAACCTTGAAACATAATCGGGACGAACCCACAATCATAAGTTTCTGCCCAAGGGACGCAACTCTGCACAGCGAATCGCGGCGCCTCAGACGACCGGGCCACCAGTGCCCCCACAAAGTGGATGATACAACCAAAGATAAGGCCTGGCGTGATGACAGTTTTATGAACACAGCAAGAGATCTTTGGAGCGATCATGGCGAGAGGTTCTGGGTCCTTTATTCACTGGGCTGGATTGGTGAAGGTGACTCTGATTAGTGCCCCAGTAAGTATCACAAGGTAATGTCACTGTTCAAAGTGGCTACGGTCATTGTATTGAAGTATTCTGGGAAAGTCAGTTACTCGTCGTCACGAATTAATCCAGGTTCTGTTTTGTACATATGTCACAGTCCAGCGTTAAACAACACATAAACAAATAAAGTTACCTGCAGTAAGTCCAAAGGATACAAACAGGTAGCTCAGAGATGTTGCAAAACTACTTGCGACGAGACCCCCCGCGAGTAGCAGACCGCCGAGCATCACGGACGTCCGGGAGTCGAAGTAGGAAGTGATGACACTCGCGAGAGGACCTGGAAGTCAATGTCATAATCAGCTATCAAACGGCATGTAACAGAACAGGAAGCGAGTGTCAGAAAAACAAGCAAGGACGTTTTGATAAGGAGTAGTAGAAACTAATTTATTATTGTTTGTTTGTTGTTCACACTCATCAATATTCCACCTATATGACGGCAGTCTGTAAATCCAGTCTGGACCAGACAATCTAGTGATTGACATCATGAGCACAGATCTACGCAATTGGGATACGATAACATGCATCAACCAAGTCAGCGAGCCTGACCACCCGATGCCGTTAGTCGCCTCTTTCGACAAGTTTAGCCTTTTACGGCAAGCATGGGTTGCTGAAGACCTATTCTACCCCGGATAGTCACGGGTGAACAAATTTCTTAATGGCAGTAGTTGTTGACGTCCTAAACAGCGAAAGGCGTCATTCCCTGTCGTTAATATATAACACTGAGTACAAACCTGAGCGTTAACAAAAAATATATCAGTGTGGTTTGATAGAGGTCACTGACAAACTCACCTGCAGCCAACATGAGTGAGGCATACACTGCCGTGACCCAGGCTGTGAAACCAACACTCTCCTGGAAGTGCTCCAACAGAACGACCTGGAACATGCCTCCCATGTAACACACTCCCGACAGCAGGAATTGATTCATGTAGGACGCCACAAGCACCGCCCACGCCCAGCCGTCGTCCACGTCCTTCCCAGCCATGACGCCAACGTTGTCGACCTAGAAGTCACCCGTGAAGCAAGTGACCACCAAATATTATTAGTTTTGGTGTATTTTGTTGCTGTATACGGTGTCATATAAGGTTAGCAGAAATGTTCTGCTAACCTTATATGACACCGTATAAGGGCATCTAGAGATAACATAACGAATTTATTATGCCGAAAAGTTTACACTATGTGGTATCTTTGTCCCACATGTCATATCAAGACTTAAAACTCAAAACTTAACACTTACAACCTGAGACGTTAAGGGTCAAAGGGAGCCTACTCTTCAAACCTCAGAGGCCAAACCTTGTTGATAGGTTTAACTTTATATAATCTTTGTTATAGTCACAAACGTGATCCAAAAAAACATTAACGTCCTTGCACATCAAAATTAATGATATTAAAACACAAAACAGTGTCGAATAACGGCTTTCTGTACCAGGCTTTTCATGTGAAATATGTGAGGTGGGTGTTGGAAAATCCAAAATGGCTGTTACTGATGGTATACGGTCTTATATTAGGTCAGTATCAACCGTCTTGGATTTTCACTGACGGTATACGGGCTCAAGTGGGGTCAGTAGTTCTGCTCTCTGATTGGTCAATCTCACTTTGAGGCATCATAATGACACATCTGGTTATCAAGCCCCTGTGTATAAGGTCTATTTCAGCCTGTCAACAACAAGATATCTGTATATCGGTTGCATCAGGAGAGTTGTTTGCCGATAGCCTAAATCTAACGTCAACGAACACAGTCAACTCACAGGTACTTTAAAAGTGTCCATGGTCATTTGCTTTGATCTCCGCTCATCATATAAGTCGCCATGAATAGAGGGTAAACTACCTGTTCTGGCATACCTTGCTGAAATGTGCGCTGTGACCTCAGCTCAGTCGATGAGATCACGCGGTGATCTCTGTATAGCGAAAACTGAGCTCAACAGGAACGTCTCTGGGCGTAGTTGTATTTTCTGGAGTACTTTCAGTACGGTACAGTAAATAATCCCAATCATATAGCATATGTATGTAAATAATAGGTTTCCACACACTAGACGCACTGAACGCACGATTTCATTATGTAACATGTGTCATACATTATGCCTGCCCGCCTTATTATAGCTGATCTAATACTGCTGTAGCGGGGACTCTATCTAGGTCACATCCAGTGTACTCTCTCAACTGTGAAAGGGAACGTTTGCATACATCCTTTTTAATAAAAGTATGTGCTTATGGTGTAACGTCACGCTGAAGATTACTGCAGTGATATAGCGATGTGCATGAACGTGTGTGCCCTTCCTTTGTCCCCTTGATACCGAAAGCCGGGCAGGGTAAGAACAAGAACCACCTCTTAAAAATGTTTTGAACGGAACTCCACCGAGCGCCAGGCATCGGGAGCCCCACGCTTACAGAACGTGTACCAAACGGCACAGCTTGACTGGACTGATCAGGCATCAGACAGAGTGTATTACCGATCAAGGTTCAGAAGTTTGAACCAGACACACGCTCATACTCATATCATCCTTAATATCATTGTTTCAGATATTAGCACAAATTCTGTTTGTTCAACATGTTCGATCTATTTGGACACTTTGTACAGTATAAGGACAATACCAATTGATAAAAGAAACGGCTTGTTTTGTAAATTTCACTTGTAATGGAGATGACCACCAACCAGAATGGCGGCCACTGAAGCTGCGTTGGCGTAAAGATATTGTCCATTTAATTATAACAATTGTCTCCATGTCCTGATTATTTCTACTGTGTCCTAATTGTATTCGGACAAACAGGACAAGACAAGGACATTTTGTAATCACATACTTGTGTATGTAATGTTAATGTTTTTATCAATAATTATTCTCTCATAACCCGTTTGGGTGGCGTTTGTACATGTGTTTTAATGTATCATGCTCCGCTGACTTTTATCATCTTTATGTACAAATGGTGAGAAAAATATAAACCACTTTGAATTGAATTACAGTAAAGTGATACACGTCCACATTCACCATACGCTATAACACTCGTGTGTCTCACGTTGACAGACCGTGTTTTAGAAATGAATATAAAACAGGAATGATGACTCCCCATTTGAACTTTAGAGTAACATACCGTTTATAAGGTATGGAGTCTAGGTATGGAACCTATACTGTACCTACTAATGACGTAAACTGTGGACGTAATTCGACACACCGGTCTCGCAATTCTTGAAAATGAGGGTTAACACTGAAAAAATGGTCAAGTGAATTATACTATCTTAATTAGTAACATCGACCAGAAGATTAGTAAACAGCGAATTTACTATCCTGTCTGGTAGATGCTGAAGATTAGTAAATATCAATAATCAAATTAGTATAATTCACTGCTTAAACCACACTTTAAAATATGTGTTGAGAATGTAAACACATACACGACATGTTTAAGGATGAGTTTCAATCCTAAACCGCATGCACATTTGGTGTGTTCAATCTAAACATGTTTTGGGTCTAAACACATGAAATGAGTTATCGCCTCAGAGCCTAAACACAACATCTTCATAATCCAAACATATTGTTATAGAAGTCCAATATAAGCAGTCATTGTAATCAGAGTACATTTAGTAAACCTTGTCCATCATAAGTGTCACCCATTTTCGTTATATCACGATCTATCTGCAAATGTCCATTCACAATTTCCACATTATTAAAATATCATTGTATCAGATATTAGCACAAATTCTGTTTGTTCAACATGTTCGATCTATTCGGACACTTTCTACAGTGTAAGGACAATACCAAATGATAAAAGAAACTGATTGTTTTGTAAATTTCACTTGTAGTGGAGATGACCACCAACCAAGATGGCGGCCACTGACGCTACGTTGGCGTAAAGATATTGTCTATTTCTACTGTGTCCTAATTGAATTCGGAAAAACAGGACAAAAAAAGGACATTTTGTTATCACATACTTGTGTTGGAAATGACATTACCTATGCCATGCTTGTGATATGAAAGCCATCCAACTTGTGTTCTGATTGGCTAAGAAAGGTCATATGACCTGTTAATGATGCCTATAAATACGACCACGGGTCAAGGTCTAGGGCACTTCTACTTATCCTTCACTACCACTAGGTACATATTTTGATACATTTTTAGGGCAAATTTAGAAGAAATCTCTTGACATTTTATTACTTATAATAACATTTTCTCAAAACAATAAAGCTGATATAACTTAATATTATTACTTCTTTGGAGACTGAGCCATGTTAATAAAATATAATAGACTTATAGTAGTTGATCAAACCTGGGGGTATTTATTGGCATCATTTTTCATCACATTGTTAATAATTTATGTCCACATTGTTGACATTAAAACCAAAATTAAACATAAGTAAACGCCATTACAAACTTGGACTGCCAAACTTCAATTTTGCTCTTGTTATTTATGTTTTCGCCAGCATCCTAAGGGTGTTAAAATATTTAGATTTTGAACATCTTTACACATGTTTAGAATTTTTAAAAAACCTTGAAAACATTTTTAGAATTTAACCATGTTAAAAAGGGCATATGATCAGGCTATAAGTCAAATATGCATGAGATGTATAATAATTTATTGAAGTTGGATGTGCAAATCAGATTCACAGACATTTGCATGACATATATATACCAACAACGAACTCAATATCAACATAAAAATGTACAAATAAAATCTCCAATGGTAACTAGGAAAATTGACACTTTTGGCTATTTCTAGATATAAATAATTAATAAATATAAAATGCCGTACAAAAAAAAATATACACTTGAAATTCGAATGTGACTAAAATTTTACAAACGTTATCAAAACGTTACGAGACTGAAAACAATCTCTGAAACACTGCAACTTTTTGCCTATAACACAACTGTGATATTCGTCGAATACATCACCATCGAATCAAAATTTCTTGTTTGTTTCGGGGGCATGGGTGGCCCAGTCGTCTAAGGCCGCGATTCGCTGTGCAGAGTCCCTTGGACACGCTAGGAACCTATAATTGTTGGTTCGAATCCCGATTCGCCCCGATTATGTTTCTAGGTTTGTCAGCACCATACCCTTGCTCGTGGATTTCACCAAAGTGGTAAACCTCTGAGACCTGCATCACTTCGAGCTTTCCTTTCACATTAAGCTGACACGCCGTGATATAACTGGAATACTGTTAAAAGCGGCGTCAAACCCAACTCACTCACTCACTCTGGTTTCTTTCATTACAGCCACCATCAAACATGGGTGTATACTTTCTTTTGCCCTGCAGTGCATTAATCAATGAGATAATTTCTCAGTTTGTGAAAGTATGATACCAGCCTAAAACAAATGGCCATGAATATGAATGTTGTTTAATGAACCGCTCCCCAATATTCAAGTTATATCGCGGCAACTTGTATATTATCGATTCCAGACGAGACAACTCAGTTACAGAAACCACGCCTTCATCCATATTCTCTCAGTCGGTTTACCGAGCCTAACTATGTGATCTTATTCATTCGTGTTTGGCTTATTTAAAATAGGGTCCCAACGAGGGCAAACTGAAGTCAACTGAAAACCTGGTTCATTTTGTCGGTCTGGTCTATATATTCTTGATAATATATCCTACATACTCACTGTTGGGGACGTCAGTGCACGTCTAGTCCATCGTAGCGTCGTTAAGCTTGTGTTGGTTCTTGCCAAACTCAAATTTATTTATCATGCATATTTTATATGCTCTGATCAATTCAATTCGATCATTCAATTAAATATCACTTTGTATTAACCAGCTAACGTTTCGCTATTGGTTATACCACTGATGTTTGAAATTGCATTTCCATGCGTTAAACGAAAGTGAACATTTGCTTAAGTATGAAAATACATACATAACACATATAATACAGACATCATTGTCGACGTGGTCACAAGGTATGAGCACGACTACAAGGAGGAACTCCCACGAAGGAATTCATTCTTGTGTGTATCATGAGTTTGGTTAAAGCGTACATCACCTGCTTCATACGACGGTCCTGACGCTCGCAATACCTGTATGCGACACACATTGACGTTGTAATCTCCAGTTTAGTCACGTACAGAATTGTCATGTAAACTCACTAATGTGGCGAGGTGGAGCAAACCAAAGCACATTTTAGCAGTGAGGTACAGTGTGTACATAGATAACAATGTAGCAGACTCATGATATCAACTCTTGTGTTTAACGCCGCTTTTAACATCATTCCAGTTATCATGTCAGCTTAATGTTGGAGGAAAGCCCGAAGTGATGCAGGTCTCAGACGTTTACCACTTCGGTGAAACCCACGAGCACGGGTATGGTGCTGACAAACCAAGAAACATATTCGTGGCGAATCGGGATTCGAACCCACACCCATTGGATTCTTGCATGCTTGCGTCTTCTTAGACGACTGGGCCGACCGCGCCCCTACTTACGAAGAGGATAGGTGAAGGTCGTACCCCGAATCCTTACTTTGGCAACACTTCAACCAGCCGACACTGTACAAAGTAAACTGACGTCCAAAAGAAACTTTACCAACTGAAAATATAAATTTCAGACAAAGTATTATTTTTTTTCGATGAAGTCTATCTAAAACACATAACCTGAATACAACAATAGTGTATGCAGAAAATGTTAATCGTCTGTTACATGTTTGCGAGATAACACGCGAAAAAGTGAAAAACACGTGCACCACGGACAACTGCAAATACACGTGCGGGTAAGGGTATAAAACGATTGCAATGGCAAGTCAGACATCCACAGTGATAGAAAAACACAAAAGAAATGCCACGACTCACAGTCGAACAACGTGAACGAGCCTTGGGTATAGTACAGATGGGAGCCACCCACGCTCATATTGCACGAACCTTCGGTTGCTCCCGTGTTGCCATTACCAACTTGATGCAACGTTACAGACAGACAGGGCGGACCGCTGACAGGCCAAGAACAGGCAGACCCAGGGTGACCACGCCTCATGATGACCGGTACTTGCGTACCTTGCACCTCCGAAATCGCTTCCTGACAGTGACGTCATCGGCGACAAATGCCTTAGGTCACAGGGTTAGTCGACAGACAGTGGCCAGGAGACTCAGGGCTCATGGAATCAGGGCTTTCAGACCAT